TATAAGCGGTCTTGCATTGTCTAACAAGCCCCCTCAGTGTAAGGGAAGCTAAGCAGCATAAAATACCAATATGTACTGAAGGGGGATGCAATCAAAACATAGTATGTGAATTTTATTGAATTTGAAATAGATATGCAGCAAGGCAGGCCAAAGTATATTGTAACGTTTTTATTGTTCGCAGTGTGAATTAAGACAAGCACTGGTTTATTAACGAACTAAATGACCTACGTGTAAACGAAGAGTCTGGTTAGTAAAATTAATACTATTGGTGCGTACTTACACCATAGGTCAGTTTAAATATATAGCTTCAAAGATTATACTTACAAATCTGTTTATTTGTTAAAATTTACAATAAATTGTCGTCAGTTCTAATTCTTTCTTCTGCTCCTTTTAGTAAAATTAATACTACAATTAATAATTCGAAATAGGTATTTAAATTAATCCTAAATATACAAAATGTCATACAAATGTGTTAATTTTTCTCGTTTCTTATGTTTGTGGTAAATTTTCTCCTAAAAGTGAAAAAAGACAATTTTCGCGCTTTAGCGATCTGCTTGCAAAGTGTTGTAATTATTTAATTTGTTGCATATTAATTACTTATTACTGAAATAGTAAATATACAAGTTACTGTTTTATTTTTTTTTCATGGTTCTTTAATATTATTATTAAAATATTTTTTTAGATTTCGTTTTAATTGGAAAGGTACAATGCATGGGTGAAGGCCCTTAAATGCATCCCTGGCGAAAATGAAATGTGCAAAAAGTGTGCAAAATTATTTAAGAACAATGTGCAATATTTTAAAAAAATGATGTGCGGAGGGTGAGAAATGGAACATGAAACAATGTGCAAAACCAAAAATTTAAAAGTGTGAATAATCACTGGACAATGTTCTAAAGGAAACTCCTTTTGATTTTTAACATTGTTTGCACACTGTTTCTTGCCACCTGTGTGCCTATTACAAAAGCAGATTCTTTTTGGTGACCTATAAAGTCTTTTAAATTTACACATAATTGAAATATAAATATCCTTATAATAATATTAATCAAATAAATAATTAAAAAAAAAATTAAAAAAAATACCCACAATATAGGTCCTACATAGGTACTGTATTTTATTAAGAAAAATACCTGCACTGTCAACTCCACGAAGGGGATTGCTTTGATCTTAGCAATAGGCCGAGAATCGATACATAAGATGGAATCTACCTTACCTTTTAAATAAATGTTGTACCCCAACTCAAGCGAGATATATCTTACCCACACGGAACAATTACATCCAATGGATATCCAATGGATTTCTTTTATGGATATCCAGGATATACATAGGATATCCGGGATATCCAATGGATAACCATTGGATATATAAATGTCCGACCCTCCTGGACATAGTGTGGATATCCAATGGATACCCAGTGGATATAGTATTGTATGCAATAAGGTTGTAATCTGTATTCAATATGGAGATTGTATGGATATCCAATGGATAACCATTGGATATATAAATGTCCGACCCTCCTGGACATAGTGTGGATATCCAATGGATACCCAGTGGATATAGTATTGTATGCAATATGGTTGTCATCTGTATTGGATATGGTGAATCAATGGATATTTACTTTTCAATAAATAACATTGGGTTTCAAAATTATTATTCTTTAATTTAAATATTTATTTTTATGAAAACATAAAATAGAACAGAAAACTACATATAACTAAAGAAGTGCTTGCCATCACTCCTCCAGCTGTCATTTGCCTTTTTATCAGCCTAATCATTTAGGGCCTATTTCACCTGTCTCCTTATGATCCCCAAAATTTGGCCAATCCATCAGCCCATTTGTTTTACATGGCACAATGACTAATGTACCATGCCCACCAACACTGACAGACAGACTGTTTCGACCTGTTGGGTCTCATCAGTGTCAGGCAGTTGGTGCCGAGAGACACGCTTCAAGCCAAGCAACCGCCCACCTATATACTAGTTGGGCGACCTGGACAGCGGCGAGATGCAGCGGCAAGGTAATATGGTGACATTTATCTTCTGTGTTCGCCGGCAGTGTTGTCAGACGTTTAAATAATTTCAGAAAGCTCATCAAAATGGCGGTTATATTATTAAATCTTTAATACTTAATTAATTAGTATACCTAGTATACCTATTTGACATAAATGTGGTGAATAATTATTTTAAATTTATTTAATTTATTTATTAAAACTTAATAAAGTACGGAAATATATTTCGTTTAGTTATTTTGCTTATAACCGACAACACTGAAGATTCTCAAATTCAGCGCGTGCGTAGTACATATATGAAATACAATAATAAACAAAAAGGACTTTTTTAAGTAATTTTTTATTGTATTGCAGACTGTCATAGTCATATTATTAACAGAAATAATATTATTAATATATAAATATTATTATCTGGGTAAAGTGAACATTTCAAAATTAAAAATTTCGTAGCTCTTGGCAAAAAATCAATTTAACGTAAAGTCGTTTTTTTTACATATGCTAGTTTAAACCATCACAAAATCCCACATGTATACATACAAGTATATATACAAGATATCCATATCAGTTATCCACCGGATATCCAGTGGATATCCAGTGGATATACATTAGATGTACAGTGGATATACTTTGGACATACATTAGTTATCCATTGGATATATATTAGAGATACTTTGTTGAAATTGGGTTAATAACGATTTAAATCATATTTATTAATCATTACATAAATTTATCCTATAAGGGGCTATTTTAAAAAAGAAAAAAATATTTTTAATGTTTTTGTTTTTATTTGAACATCCAGTATGGATATCCATCGGATATCCAGTGGATATCCAGTGGATATACATTAGATGTACAGTGGATATACTTTGGACATACATTAGTTATCCATTGGATATATATTAGAGATACTTTGTTAAAATTGGGTTAATAACGATTTAAATCATATTTATTAATCATTACATAAATTTATCCTATAAGGGGCTATTTTAAAAAAGAAAAAAATATTTTTAATGTTTTTGTTTTTTTTTTGAACATCCAGTATGGATATCCATTGGATATCCAGTGGATATCCAGTGGATATACATTAGATGTACAGTGGATATACTTTGGACATACATTAGTTATCCATTGGATATATATTAGAGATACTTTGTTGAAATTGGGTTAATAACGATTTAAATCATATTTATTAATCATTACATAAATTTATCCTATAAGGGGCTATTTTAAAAAAGAAAAAAATATTTTTAATGTTTTTGTTTTTTTTTGAACATCCAGTATGGATATCCATTGGATATCCAATGGATATCGTAAAAGGCATGGATGTTATATGGACATTGGGATAGCCATTGGATATCCATTGGATAGCGTGTTCTGTGTGGGTAAATGTGCTTAAACTGTTGAGTGATCGCTAAAACTGTACAAACAATGTGCTATAAAAAGGTGTAATATAAGCGTCATAAATGAGAAATATTAAAGCGTAGGCTGAAGGACCCCGGTCGATGTCCTTTTGTATATTTTGTATTATATGTTCTGCATTGTACTGAATATGCAATAAACATTTTATTTATCTATTTATTTATTTATTAAAGCGTGCAGTGTGTATAAAATGTGACATGCGTAAGATAGACTGAAGCTTTGCAAAATGTCTTTAAACAATGTGATAACACTGTGTAAACTATGTGCTAAAATATAATGTAATATAAGTAAGCGTGACATATGACAAATAAAAAGCGAGATGTCAATGTACATAAAGAATGAAAAAACTTAATTATTTCAAGAAGTGTAAAATTACCACAACGTAGCGTGTATGCACATTGTTATAAACACTTGCACTCCAAATACACACTTATTGCACACTTTTCATGCACGCTTTATTTTCGCCAGGGATTGGCGGAGGCCCCATGCTAAATTCGAGCCTGGCATAAGTTTCTGAGACGAATGCTTGCTAGTAAATATATTATTTTCCACTAATCTATACCTATTTAGATTTTTGGAACCTATACTAAATATTTCTAACAAAAACTTACCGGCAAGTGTCAAACCAGGTTATCCAATTTGAAGTTAACTAAATATTTTAAGTTTGTTGGTATAAAATTTAGTCATTACTAATTTTAAATAGGGTTTTACCACTCTTATAGAACAGACTAGAACTCATTATAACCCAAAAATACCGTTGAGTGGAAAATCAATTTATTAATATAATTTTTATTTTATTTTAACTAATTTTTTTAAAATACAACAAGTGGGATTATAATCCCAATTATATTATAATAATGTTTAGTTTTTTTCGTACCTTATTAAATCTCTTACCGTAACTACCTACCTAGTTAAAGATAAAACCAATATTAAAAACTAGGTAAAAAGTAGGAAAGCGAGCTTAAGCAGTGCAACTTTGCATTTTATTATAAATAAAGAAACACATATAAGTATGTTTATTGTGCTTATTCAGAAAAAAAAATACATTTCTATTCTATCCTAACAAACATTAAATCGTCGGCCGATAACCGGATAAATGTTGGCAATTGATTTATACGATTTATCCCCTAGACAACGTCGGAACTTAAAATAATTTAATTTTGAACTAATTAAATTACAGCCTTAACATTGTAAGGTAAACACTAAAACTCAGTGTTCAAATTTGAAGTGATATACCTACCTAACGGTAGATTAATCAATGCTTTAAAAATGGTTAAAAGAATATTTTCAAAATAAATATAGTTGGCGAGTCCACTGTGCGTACGAAAGCCAATAATGTTGACGCTTGCTCCGTATGCTGCCAACATCACGCGCCTGCTCGAATAGTTGCCTATATTTAGGAGCACTACAAATTATTTTGTGTTGCGATTATTATTATCGAAATTGCAGTATATAACAAGTTTGAACGATTTTAATAAGTTTTACTTGTAAGTTGTTAGTTTTTTTTATTTATAAATATCGTATTTTTGATAAGTTTTGTTTGACATTTGGAACATAACCTAACTTTATTTTTAGAATTTGTAAAAATGGGTGACGAACCAGTTATGGCAACAAACGACGACGCCAGCGAATGTAAAAGGGGCGCCGTGCAGCTGGGCTACTGGGAGGATAAATATATATCATTTTTTGTCAAACAAATCGTTAAAAAAGCCCCCGAAATAAACAGAGGTTATTTTGCTAGAGTCAGAGGTGTCGAGACTTTGGTTCAAAAATTCCTTAGTAAATCTGGCAGTTGTGCCCAGATTATCAATTTTGGGTGTGGCTTTGATACATTGTACTGGAAATTAAAGGATGAAGGGTTACAGATATCAAATTATATTGATGTTGACTTTCCGACTGTAACAGCTCGTAAATGTTATATGATAAAAAGGAACAAACAGTTACTCGACAAAATTCATGGTGAAGATGGTGAAGTGAGATTAAGTTCGACAGATATGCATGCAGGGAACTACCATTGCATTGGTGCTGATATGAGAAATTTGCACCAATTGGAGACAAAGTTAAGTCAGGCTGAAATTAATTTCAGTAAGCCAACTTTATTTATAGCTGAGTGTGTGTTAGTTTATATTGAAAATGATTGTGTTAATAGACTTTTATCATGGATTTCCTCAAAATTTCAGTCTGCAATGTTTATTAATTATGAGATGTGCAATATGAATGACACCTTCGGAGATGTTATGTTAGGTAATTTAAAAGCCAGAGGTTGCAATCTTGCAGGAATTTCCTGTTGTAAAAACTTAGAAACCCAAAAATTACGATATTTAAATAATGGCTGGTTAGGCTCAAATGCATGGGATATGGTTCAAGTATACCATGATTTATCTGAAACTGAAAGGCACCGGATAGAAAAAATTGAGTTTTTAGACGAACAAGAATTATTAGTGCAGCTTTTTCAGCACTACTGTATTTCTATAGGTTGGCTAACACCCGAATTTGCCGATGTAAATTGTTCCGGCGGTTTTTAGTACTAGGCAATAACAATAAATTTGGTGTGATGCATTATTGTTAATATTGTATAAAAAATGCTGTGATACTTTCAGAATTTTTATATGTGTTTGTATGTTTACAAACCATTATTTTTTAAGGAATAATACGCTTTTATTTTTGTCAAGTGTGAAATTTTTATTGAAGTAGTTTTTCTTGTTTTTGTATTATACTTACATTACAAAATAAATTATGTAATAAACTTTGAAATGCTATTTGTTTAATAGCCAAATTTTATGAATTTTTCTTGATTACAACATACCTACTTAAATTTGGCTCTAGTGACATCATTTATGGATGCTGTCTCAGCACATTAAAAAAGCTAACTGATAAATATGTAATTTATTTTAGGACCTAAAATAAATTACATAGTAGAGTTACACTGCGCGTCAAAATTAACGCATAATAAGTAAAAAAACTCTAAAACGCCTTTACCAATCATTATGAAATTGTGTATAAAAATACTTCAACTTATATCTCAGTTTACGTGTTCCAGGGTTTTTCGAGAAAATATTTTTAAAGTCCTTTTATTTAATAATAAAAAAACGTTCGAAAAATAACTAAATAAGTAATTAAAAAATATGCTGTTAACCGTATTTTTTTTAGTAATTGTAGTAATGAAGATACAGCGCTTTAAAGTCGGTAAAAATGACCCCTTTTTGATTTAATTGTGGTCATTTTTGACAACTTTGAAGCGCTGTATTTTTATTACTGTTCGTTTGATTTGTACAAAATTTTCAGGGTATACTAACAAAAATACGGTCTTTCACAGCATATTTTTTATTTACTTCAAAAAACAAAAATACGGTCTTTCACAGCATATTTTTTATTTACTTCAAAAAAAAAATTCCCTATAAAAGTTTTTTTTCGACCGTTTTTTTATTATTAAATAAAAGGGCTTTAAGGATATTTTCTCGAAAAACCCTTGAACACCTAAATTGAGAAATTTTATTAAGATTGGTAAAGGCGTTTTAGAGTTGGATTTTTTTACTTGTTATGCGTTAATTTTGACGTGCAGATGATGCAAAGAAAAGGGCTAATAATGCTTCCAAAAGTATTAAAATTTACTGCTCTTTAATTCTCATAACTTTTATTATTTTATTTTAAATTTAAATAAAATCATAAGATAAATTAGTACTAAACTATTATTGAATGACAAAAAGAAACAGATTATGAGTTTTTTTTGTTATATGTTAAAAGGCATCATAATAATCAGTTTATACAGGGTGTCCAAAGTTATCTGCTCACCATTGCTGACTTTGTTATCATTGAAGCTACAAAGTACTATAAAGTAGCAAATTTGTCTCATTTTTTCTTCTGATTAAAATGGTAAAAACGAAAAAACAATTGTCAGGTTTTTAAAATATTCACAAAATTATTTTTTTTAATGGGTCACCCTGTATATTTTTACATATTTTGAATGACAATTTAGTTTGGAACAAAAAATTATAATAAGTATTATTATAACATAACTACCCTAAACTTAAAAATAAACATTTAATAATCAATAATAATTTGGTCATTTCAACAACCATCAGAAAGTGCATATTGTTTATTTTAAGTTCAGGGTAGTTACACAATAATAATTTTTTGTTTAAAATTAAACTTGCTTTTAAAATATGTAAAAATAAACAGCTGACAAATGCCAGTTTGATAGAAATGAAGCCTACTTTGAAAAGTTGACATTTTCAAATAAAAATTTAAACGGATCTTCGAATCGACACACAATGTAAACCTTTTTTGCGTAAAGATGGTGAGAAAATTGATATTTTTAATAAAAACATGTAGGTATCCAGAGTGTCGCAGAAAGCGCCTTTTACAATATACATCAAAATTATTAACAAATTCAAATTTCTCATCTCAAAAAACCCAAATCACAAAATTTTATGCAAAAGTATTGATTTAAAAATAAGTTACCTAATTAGGAAAATCGAAAATTAAATTTTCACTGGGATATGTATCTTGGTTACTTTGAAGCGCTTTATTTTCGTTACTGTTCGTTTGATTTGTACAACATTTTCAGGGTATACTTACAAAAATACGGTCTTTCACAGCATATTTTTTATTTGCATATTATATCAGAACTGTTTTATTGAGCAACCTGTCGTTCCGGCAGACAAAACAAACTTTGGTTAATAACTCGAAAACTATCTATCGATTAAGTATACTTAATAATAATTTTGTAATTTTTTTAGTTTGAAATCGCCTGGTATGGCGTTAGTGAGTCATAATATAAGAGCCATAATATAGCTTTTAGCCTTAAGTCATGAAAATTGTAGTTATGAGTCATAATTACAATTTTTTATATGCTTTAATTAACCTTACCTATCGTAATGTAATTGCTTTCAGAGACAATAATCTAGAGTGGTAAAGCTTTAAAAAAATTGTAGGTACATTTATTTATAAAGAGTTTTTATTTTGTGTTCTAAAATTATCTAATATTTTTATAAAATAATCAATTTTTTACATATTATACATTTATACAAACAGTAATAATATTTATTTATATTTATGAAATCAAGAAATGCGACATACAAATTTATCACTAGGGCCCGGACTTTTAGGTCAAAAAGTGATAAAAGGTTCCTAAATTAGGTGATATTTTTAATAAAATATGTATTTTAGGTACCTATATTTTATGTATGTGTTAAGTACATAAAATATAGGTACCTAAAATACCTATTTTATTAAAAATATCACCTAATTTAGGAACCTTTTATCACTTTTTGACCTAAAAATCCGGGCCTTATTTATCACACATTTTGTTAAAAAACCTTTTGAGTTTAGTAATGTTATAGCCTACGGAGTAATAAAATAAAGAAACAAAATTACTTAAATTTTTCATCAGTATCTGATGGGTCTAAAAAACAAAATCCATTACCCAAAACTTTTCTTAAAATGAATGTATAATGTCGCTTTCCTTAAATAAAAAAAATAATATTCAGGACCTTCTTAAGGGCTCAAGTAATTAAAAGTTTTTCTATTATTTCGCAAGAGGTAAGTAAAGTCATTTTTAAATTAATTCCTTTTAAAATCAGATTCTAATAAAAAAATTGGATTAAAAATTAATTAACCAACTAAACCATTTGGTATTAATACATTTTTCAATTAAAATACATATATGGGTTTTACTAAAACCGTTTTAGTGTAAATGTAGTTTTATCAACATTATTCATAATAAGAATGTATTATTGATACAATTGTATTAAGTTATTAAATCTTAAAATAATTTAATTATATTTTTGATATGTGTTGCAAATTTAAAAATGTTCTATTTTTACATAAAAGTATACAGGGTATTTCCTACTGATGTATACACGAGTTTATCATTTTTCTTAACCCGATGAGTGTTAAAACTAAAAAAGACAATTAAAACTCTGATTTTTTTATATTTTGTTTTAAATAAACGAGTACAAGCTTGCTTATAGTAAATCAAGAAGATACTGGGGTGGGGGTGCGCTTCTATATAAACTCATCTACCAATGAGAGACCAGATTTAAATATTCGTCGACAGAAAAACTGGCGCTTGAGAATTTTCGGGTTGAAGAAATTTCAAAAGAAAATGTGTATATTTATTAGGTAACTTTAATCTGCATTATTGTTTAAAGCCAAATTTTTATTAAACGTTTGATACTTATAAGTATATAAGATATATCTCTCCTTAAAAAATCCTGTTTTGGACTTGCCCTTTTCTGGCTTTGAGGTACAAAATACTCCTCTTTTTTTAATAGATTTACACGGTGGTACATTTTTTTAGTTACTTTTATTATGACTTTTAAATATCTTATTAACTTTTAAATACACCCTTCACTCTACTGTTAGTTTTCCATATTAAACAATATCTATTAAAAAGTACTATATTAAACAATTATCTATTAAAAAGTACTTAATATTATTCCAGATAAAATTCGTAAATTTACCGTAAATGCACGGTTGCTTAAAGATGCGTCCGCCTTGAATTCATAGATAATGCACACGTGAAGCTCAAAGTGAATGCACAGCAGGATTTTTTTACATTCAGGGTTAATAAAAAGTGTATGAACTCATAGTGTTCATTTATTTTTAAATATTTACGGCGTGCACCCGGTGTAAATTTAACGTGGATTACGAATGTTATCTGGAAACTCACAGTAAATTAACAGTGCATTTATTTTTAAGAATTCACGCCGTGCGTGCGTTATCGTTTCCATGACACTAAGTGACCTTTTAAATACACATTGACAAGTTGTGGCTTTATGGCCTTTTAGTCACGGGCTGAAGTAAGCAACAAGATTTTAGTAAAGGGCTGAAGTTTTAAGTTAGTTGACAGTTGTCAAATATTATACAATCGTTAAAATAAAGTGCCCTTCTTGTAAAATAATACTAAATGTAAAAATTATTTTGTTATCTCAATCCAAAAATTTAAAAGTATTAAATAGTTCCTTAACGCCGGCAGTAAACTAGTTTTAACTTAATTTCGGGTGGAGACTCCACCGTGAAGTGCCCATAAAACATTTTCTTTACTTTTACTGTAAAAAACTGCTTCTATATCGGAATAAAAGGTCCATTTTCAAGGGGTACATTTTGATTTACAACTAAAAATTTGACATTTAGCGGCGCGGGTATCTATACATAATCCCAAGTTGGTTACTATTGTTATATATAGTGTGACCCATTTGTTTCCGACTCACCCACTGTAAAATCTTTATTTATTGTGCGATTTTAAAGTGTAGATCTTGATAAACTGTATTTTTAAAGCAAAAACGCCATATTTTTACAAAATACAAGGCCAACTATGTCAGTTTTTAAGAGTAAATTTTTAAGAATTTATATTAGCGATTTTTTAAACAAAATCCAAGCACGGCACTGGATTCACCACCCCTCAAAACCACCCTATACTAAATTTTATTGCAAAAGTTTAAGAACAAAAATTCACAATAATAACTACAAAAATTTATTTTGTCAAGTTATCCATTAAAAAACATGGTACTATTATATAAAATTTAGTATAGGGTCGTTTTGAGGGGTGGTGAATCCAGTGCCGTGCTTAGATTTTGTTTAAAAAAATCGCTAATATGAATTCTTAAAAATTTAATCTTAAAAACTGACATTTATTTTGTACCAATATGGAATCTTTTGCTCCAAAAATACAGTTTATCAAGATCTACACTTTAAAATAAATCCAGTTAAAATCGCACA